AGTAGGTAGTGGCGATGGGGAAGGCATCGTTGAATGTACTGTTCCTCTGGGTTGAAATAGTAGGTTTGGTCCTCGGAGAGCGCGAGGTAGAGTGTCCTTGGTAGGACGTAAGCGGCTATTGGTTTCGCTGTGCCATAGGGTTGCTGCGTTGGGGTTGCATATGCCTTGTAAAGTTGGAACGGTTCTTTGTCGAGGAGGGGGAAGGTTAGGATGAGGATTAATCGATTTTCTTGGTATTGGATTTGTACTTCAGCGATGTGGTTGAGAGAGCCTGTTAGGAGTTCTTGTGTTGATAAAGGAAATTCCAGGGGTGAAGTTTCTTGTATCAGAGAGATGGATTTTTCCAATTGTTCAGGAGATAGGATGGCGGGATACAGTATTCCTTGTCTTGCGAAAAGGACAGCATCCGTTATCAACAAGATTCCGGAACGATACTCCTGGGCCAGACTTCCCAAGGCGGTTATCCAGCGCCAAAAGGGCTGTTTTATAAGCTTGTCGATGTTTTCTAGACTTTGCTGGTTTAATTCCTTCGCTATCCCTTTTGCAACTTCAAGGTATCTCGTAGTTTCTTGGGTTAGATTATCTAATCGTTGATGAATATTCGGATCTTACTATATGCGTTTCATTTCCTACGATCTGCGAGAGGTGGGTTTGCTCCATCTCTAGCTGATTTAGTTGTTGATTATAGTATTCGGCGTCCTCGGAGCTGAGGGTGCCGAATAAGGCTTTACTGATGGTCCCAACGAAGGATAGCGGAGCTCCACGTTTGGAGAGTCTGTTCCGGTTTGATATTTCCAGGATCAAGTTTGTAAGCAAATTTACGTACTTCTGCGTATCGCCCATAAGTGCATTGATACGCAGAGTCCATTCGGTAGCCTCACAGAAGGTGACATTGGCTTTTCGGCACTGGTCCCCGGCTTCCTTGATATGGGAAGCTATTTGCGGCCTTTTTACGAGCAAGGCGTCAATTTCAATCGCGGTGACCAGTCGCCACTGGACGTGAAATGTCCGGATTTCTCGGGTTTTCTCAAAGTAGATTCCTGGAGATTTCCTGATGGGGATTGTGTTGCATCCGGTGTCCTCTGGGAAACCCGTGGCTAGGTGAGCTAGGGTGAGGAAGAGTACCCACGTGTGCATTCTGTATTCGTGCGGTGTTCCTTTTGCTGTGTTGGGAGTGTACGTGTCCGTCTGAAAATACACTTATTTCTAATGTGTGAAGGTAAGTATATGGATTTGAATGATGGTAGGTATTAGTTTCGCGATTTTGCTTTTCGGACGAGGTGGGGGCCTTGGCTGAATGCGCGTTTTCGCGGAGCGGTTTCGGAGCCGTCGCGGTGGTTCATTTCATTAATTCGTTCTACTGCGCTCCGTAGCTGAAGTTTGTCCAGACTAAATTTAAAACAAAAATGGCCGGAGGAAGGGCTGCTGTAAATGAGGAGTCCGTTTTGCTGCCGTTGGGGCGGGACCGTTGGCGGTATCGCCTAGTTAGCCGGCGGGTTTGGGAGGAAATCACGTCCCTTCTACATACGGTAAGGTTTCATGCCTATATGTGATTTCCCTCCGGGGTGTGATTATATAATGTATGGTATTAATTTTTTCATTTGTTGCAGGGTCCCATACGCTGGACGGCTCGAAATGTGCTGTCTATGCTGCGGGTCGGCCGCAGCTTCAGCCGCCAGCTGAACGAGGAGTTTCAGGAGGAAGACGCCTGGGGGATCGAGTTCCTCTTCGAGGGGTTCCCGCCAGTCGAAGATTGGGATACGAAGTGAAGGCTGAGACGAGTTCCCGGTTTTTTGTATTATTATATTTGGCATTTTATTTCATATTGGTTTGTGTAACAATATATCAATGATTTCCCCGCAATTGGGTTTCTGTGCTTCTTCTTTTTGCGCCCCCTTGTGTCCCTGTCCCACATCTTCCCCTTCTTATTTAAGAAGAGGGAAAGGGGAAGGGAAGAAAAGGGGGAAAAGAAAAAAAAAGAAAATGGAAGATGGGATGAGGGAAAAAATATATACATAGCTATGTGGGAGGAAGGAAATAGATAACGAATATGATCTGTATGAGCGGGGAAAGGGTAGGGTAAAAAGGGAAAGAGAAGAGAATAAAGGAAAGAAGAGGACAACAAAAAAAATATATATCCATAGATTTGAAGAGAGGAAGGAAATAGATAAGGAGGGAGGGGAAATAAAATAAGTATGAACAGAGAAGGAGGGGAAAGGAAAGAAAAGAGGAAAGGAAAAAACAAGGGTAAGGGGGGGGGGGAAAGGAAAACGAGAAAAGAAAGAAAGAGAGAGACAGTTTTTTTTTGTCAGGGGTTCTCAACGAGGATCCAGGTTAAGTTCGCTGGTTTCTGAAAGGGCTTCCGGCGCTGCCTCGCAAAATGCTGCCCTACATGTACGGCAGTTTACGACCGGTTGGGTTCGTAGTAGGCTGCTGTGGTAAAGGCCGCATCGCTCCTGGGGGTGGTTTCGAGCCCGCAGCCGATGTCGGTGGGTGAGGGTGAACTCGGGCCAGTCTGGAGTCGGGTTTTGGTTGAAGTAGCACCGATTGCAGAGGTGTACATTTTTACTCTGGTGATACCAGAGGGTCCTGTACCTGGGAGTGGCACATCTCAGTTGCTGCAGTGCTCTGTAGGCTAGGGTGTCCTCCCAGGGGGTGCTTTCCATGGTTTTCACCTTCTTCTCTCTTTGTTGATGGTTTTTCAGCCTCCTCCTGTTGTCCGGAAGTCCTTAGGGTTGCTGGAAGGTTTTTTTAGAATTGATTTCGGGTTTTTTCCTATGTGGCCAGTTGGATGGTTTGGTTGATGACCGTTTTTAATGCATTCCAGGGAATCAAATTTCGTGTGCTTCTTGTGTGGTGTCTCGTTTGGTTCGTCGTGAAGCGGTCGTTATTTGATAGGTCCTAAGGTCGTCCAGTTTACTGATGAGGGAGTATTTGATGATTCGCGCCGGAAGGCCGGTTTTAATTTATTTAAATGTTTTATAATTGTTTTTCCTTGATTTGTTTTTAGGAGGGCATTATTCAATTCCAGGAGCTCGACAATTTCATGGGGGCCTACGTAATGGGGGTCAAATTTATGAGTTCGAGGCTCCTTCAGGACGTAAACCAAGTCTCCGACTTGAAATTCGATCGACTTTACTTACCGACCATATATTGTTTTTGAGATTTCCTTTGAGGTATTGAGGTTCGCCCGGGCTATTCTGCGAATGGTTTTGAGGTGCTGGGTCAGTACTGTTAAATAATTGTTATAGGTTTTCATTTCCTTTTCGGAGGGGTAGGATGCGGGTATTCCGGCCGTTTTTCCGAAAGCTAATTCATGGGGGGTGAAATTGGTTGCCTCATGAATTGACGTGTTGTAGGAAAACATGGCGAATGGCAGCATCAGATCCCAGTCCGCGTAATTACCCATGTAATGTTTTAAATATTCGGTAAGGACATGGTGGCTTCTTTCCAAGGCTCCGTTAGTTTGCGGGCGGTACCTGGAAGTGGTGATTCTCCTGATTTTGAAAATTTTTACTAATTCTTGGAATAGTTGTCCCGTGAAAGAGGTTCCTCGGTCCGTTAGGATAGCTCGGGGGGTGCCGAATTGGGTGATGAAGTGATAACATGCAATAATTGGTTTACTTCGGTTGAGATTTGTAATAGAATGAAGGATGGAATTTAACTTGACAGTAGTAGGCGCGCTACGAAAAAATAAATGTCAGATTCCGGTTTCATTCAGAAGAAATGCTTCGATGGGTACTGCGAGGTACGGTTACGACGGGCAAAATATTCTACTTTCGTATTGCCCAAAGAAAAATAAATTTGTTTTGCTGTTCTCATCAATGCATAAAAACGGAAAAGTGTGCGAAGAGAGTGGAAAGCCAGAAATGATAGAATTTTATAATAAAAATAAATGTGGCACAGATGTTTTACACCAGCTCTGTGGAAATTATTCCTGCGCCCGTACAGGCAGCCGCTGACCAATGCGCTTTTTCTCAGGTATGCTGGATCAGGCCAGTGTTAATGGTTGCATTTTATATAATTTTCTGCCTGAAAATAAAAATAAAAATAAAAGAGAGTTTTTGAAAGAATTGGCTCCTTCACATGTAAAACCTCATTTACAAGAGCGCGCAGCGACGCCCGGATTGCACAAATCTTTAGCTAACAGCATTCAAAAAATATTATCTTCGGACGAGATTGGTAACCCAACGTTCGGATCAGATGAATTAGAAAAAAAAACGATGTTGTTTTTGTAAAGTCGACAGAGACAGAAAGACGTAATAATGCTACGTGAAGTGTAAAAAACCGGTTTGTGGAGATCATCGACTTGTGTGCTGTGCATATTGCGTAGAATAGAATAGTATTACTTGAGTGAAAATATTTTTGTTTAACCAAAATTTTGTAAAATTTAGTTTGTAACATAAGAGTTGACGAATAGAAGTTTTAAGTTATTTAGTTTGTAAAATAGACGATAAATAAAATGTTTTTGATACTAAAATGTGTAAATAGTAATGCCTAATATATGATTTATTGCCTTTTTTACCTGTTCAAACTTAAGCATTTAATTTTAAATAAATAATGCGGACGTTTTTTCTAAAAGTTGTATTATTAAGCTTCAATTATCCGGTTTTTTTAAGTTATGTTATCTTAAGTTTTCTTAAAGTTACAATTTTTTTTAGTAAATCACTGCATTCCTACCGAGTTGCTTCATTTGTTTAGCAAAAAATATATGGAAAATTTATTTTTCTACAATTTTATGATTGATATATCAAGTTTAAGGTTTCCAACATTAGCATGAATTTTTTCGGAATTTTTTGAGTGTATTAACGGGGTGAAAAAACGGTCGGACGTGAGACCCAGGTTTTCAGACAGGAGGTGCCGAACAAACGTTTACAGACGAAGGGTTAAATGTTTCATAACGTAAAAAATGTACCATGTTATAGATCTAAGTATATTATATTTTCAATTATATTAATATAGTTATGAGGAAAATATTAAGTTTATTAATGATTTCTCAGTTGAAGAAGCCGGAGGTGCAGCCCTTCCATGTGTGGTAGATGTTCGAGATGAATCACAAGTCATATTGGCAGTGCAAGAAGCTGTTAATAAATTTGGTGGGATTGATGTCTTAATTAATAATGCTAGCGCAATCTCTTTAACTAACACACTTACGACAGAGATGAAGAAGTATGACCTTATGAATGATGTCAATGCGAGAGGCACTTTCCTTGTGTAAGTAGATAAAATTAAATACAACATATATCTTATTGCATAAATCCACAGCTTCTTCTATGAAATCCTTGCATTTATATGGAATTCAAACCTGACGCTATAACATTTTTCAAAGACATTCTTTTAAAATAGATGCCTTACTATGAAAAAGATTCCTTGGTAGTGCTTCCATCCTAAAAATAGATTATGAATATTTCAAGATTTCATTGTTTCTCAAAGGTTTTGTTCATTTGTTCTTGGAAAGCGTGCTAATATATTGGATAAAATCGTTTCGAAAGAATCGCGGTGAAAATTAACCTCATGCGCGCTGACCATGAACGTTTTCTTCCCGATAACATGTGCGCAATAGGAGAGCTTGTTCGAGCTAATGGACGAATATCTGATTCATATATTTGTGACGTATATCATGTCCATCGGATCTCCTACTTCACAACAAAGGTCCCTGGTTGGGAGATACGACCCTTTGGTCGCCCAGGGATCCCTAAACTCAACCCCCGCCCCGGCTCGAACCCACCCTTGAGCACTCTGACTGAAGACCGGTTGAGCGCCAAATTTTAAAGTCCCTTCGACCTTCCTTCTGTAAGGGCTGCGGCTCTCCCCGGGAGAGCAGTCTCAGAAGGCGAGGGCGAAGGGTTATCCCAGGCTTCCCCGAAGCCGGTCTTCGGAGAAGACTCCCGAAAATTCCCTAAGCTCAAGAAGGGTTCTGTGGCCCTGGACGAAGAGCCAGCCAGCTTAAATATTTTCCACCGTGCTGTCCGCGGAGAGAGGCGAGGTAAGGGCACTTAACCCGATGATTTCAATTTGTCCGGAAAGGACCCGATTCCTTGCCGATAACGGAAGGGAAAGGATGCCTCGGCTATTAACCTGTTAACCGGCTATGACGAAATTTTTCGTCATAACAGGAAAACACCTCAAATGGGCATGACGACTTTTCGTCAAGGATAATATTATTTCTCACTGCGAAGAGAAAGGTCCCCATTGTGAAACGAGTTGTACAAAAGTTAATTCCCCGGCTAACAGGTTAAAATAAAACGACTAAAAATTGAAGGGGTAATAAAGTGGCGGTTTATTCGCCCGAGAGATGAGTCGAATCCAAAAAGAATTGAACAAAAGTGTGTAACGGTATGCAGTTTGATCCGTGCCTATGCACCGAAAAACTGCATCCTTCGAGGGTTCGAGCCTCACGATCCCTGAGACCGAAATTAATTTTAATTCTAATATATAAAATAGAAAGAGACTGGCGAGAGAGCGAGGAGAGCGTTCACGAACGATCAGCTGAGCGCGTAAATATTATGGCGAGTCGGGAGACCTGTCGACCGAATCCGGATTTAGCGAGTTTTTCTATCGTTGGGGCCTTTGCTTCCGCACCGGTGCGCACGAATTGGTGATTTAAATTTCTCGGAAAATTATTCACTGTTCCGGATCACTTTAATTAAACTAGGTGCAATCCCAATTCTATTATCGTGTTTCCGGTTTTTCTGATGACGGCTACAGGGAAAGGAAGGATGGGAATTTGACTCTCAGTGAGAACGGCTTATCCCGTTATCGGTGCGTTCTATAGTTTCATCATTGAATCATCAGGATTTGGAATAATGGAATTTCAGGTTTTAGGATAAATTTAGACTGTTGAGAGTTTAAGGAAGTTAGTCCCTACTCCGTGCCCTAAGTTTGTCGATCTTCCGTTTTAGTCGATCCGCGCGCCGAAATCTATTTCTAGCTCAGGGCTAGTTCACCCTAAGGGAGCGAATTTGAGGTTCCTTTTTGAACCTTGGTCTGAGAACGCTACTCGGCCTGTGGGAATGGCTGATCAGCCTAAATGAAATCTATCTTTACTTAATGAATTTTAATGCTTGGGTCGCGGACTAATTGGTTCCGCGAATCTATGCGTCTTCCCGGAGTTGTGCTCTACGGGGGTTAGTATCACTTATTCTAAATTAACCAGTCGCGGACATTGACTGGTGATTGGGTTTGGTTTGTGGAAAAAGGTGTTCGCGAGTTGGTGCAATACCAAGACCGATGGGATAAGGAAGGAGTTTAAATTGGAGGAATTTGAGGGGTGAAGGATGTAGGAGTGGCGATTGTGCCAGACCTGTTGGATTTTAAGGTTCCTGTAACAGAAAATACTCACCTGGAACATCAAATTCCCCGATCGCAAACGGACGAGTACAATTCCGATTACTAATTTGTACGCGCTGCGATCGAGCCGAAGGTTCAGATCTAAGAGAGCGTTCCGTCCGCGGTGCTTCACGCTCGCGGTCCGTGGCCTCCTCTCCCAGGGCCTCCCTACTTGCTCGCAATTATCGCGCATGCTCGAATAGAGCCGAATTACTAGTCCTTATGTACAGTAGCGCATGTTAAACACCTGACCCGTCACAAGTGGTTTAACGAAGAGCCAGATGGCTGACACCCGACATCAATTCGGAAATAGGAATGCGCGACGCTGGTGCGCCGACCAAGGATTAAATAAGGATCTGAAAGGTAATATTACAAGGAATAAAAGGAACAAAGGACGCTTGCCAAATAAAAATGAAAGGAACTCTTAAACAGTTATTTCACCGAAAGCGCAGGAGAAAATAGTTAGAAAATTCTTGTCGCGAGGAATTAATATCTAATTTGCGTGATAGGTGCGATTAATTAACCTGGATTTAAAAAAAAGTCGCATTCGGGGCGATAGAATGCCCCGAAGACTTCTCTGCTATGCCGAGAAGACGCGCGAGAGGAACTTTAGCTAAACACGACGCATCGAGAACTTTAAGGTTGGAGACTAAAGAACTTAAAGTAGATAGCCCGCACGAGGGATTTAGAACAAATTTAAGAAATGAAATCTCAGTCGGACTCTCCGAAGGAACGTAGAGGAGGAAAACGCGAAATTTGACGGTTGAAGTAATAAAATATAAACTAGGCAGGGGACCGAGGAATTTACTCGAAAACAAACGTGAACCGAATTTGTTCTAAGCGGAACGCCAAAGGAACTTGGAAATAATAATTACGCAAAGTATATCGCTCGAATAATCTCGCGTGAGGAACGACCTTTAAATGATGCCCGAACCTGTCGGTCCTGCAACCTTCGCGAAAGGAATCGAACCTACAATTAATGTGAAAAAATGGAGTAATTAAAGCGGGCCGAAGGCCCTATAGCCCTTCAAGGTACGCGGGGCTCTGATTCGACTTAGAATATCGGAAAAGGGAAGATCGCAAGGCCCATGGTAATAAAGGGAATATCTAAACACGATACACAGGTAATTAATATTAAAACCACAGTCTAGAGGAAGAAATATTAATAACTCGCCTGAACCAAACAAACATGTAATATATCCGAGAACTTGGAAGTATCGAAACTACTGTTTACAGTGAAACATTCCCAAGTGTCCGCCCCCGATCTAATTGATTTTTATATATGTTGAAGAACACAAAAATCTAAGAGACACGTATATTTGAATATCTGCAATGGTCCACATTTAAGGGGTGAAACAACACCCCAAAGTTTGGCGAAAATTCGACTTTTATAATAATTTTCGTAGAAACAGTGGAGGGATTTTGACGAAACTTGGTATAAACGTATTCTGTATAAGGACGGTGGAAACACAATATTGTCCAGCAATGTTACCCCCCCAGGGGGTGAACTGCCCTTCAGGCGACATTTTTTGCAATATCTATTAAACAAGCACTCCTACTTAAGTTCCACTTACGCGATGTGATGAAAAATGTGTTCTTTGCTTTTTGTCAATAAACATTTAAACATTGGTTGTAAACAATGAATGTAGGTGGTATACGGGTATATTCCGACTAGGTTTATTGGGTTATATCGTGACCAATTCATTGTACATAAATCTTGTGAACGTGCTAATTCCTCAGTGTCGTTGGTTTTCATAACATGCAATTATCTATATATAAATTTAAAAAAAGTTTAAGAGACTAAAACAGTTTCGCAACAGATCCGATGACGCAGTCGTCACCCGTTTCCAACTAGTAATACAATTTCTTTGTGATACAGTAAAATTGGATTTTTACTGTTTTTACGAAAATAGAGTTAGCGATATTCGATACCTTATGTACGAGAATAGTACATTCAAGAAGAGTGTGTGTTGTGACGTGGCAAATTCACCCGGGGTCTATCTACCTCTTGCCAAGACCCGCTGCGCCTCGGCCTCTTGCGCACATCACCTTCGGCCGGTCGCTGCGAGCGGGGCCTGCCGAGAGACTATCGTGTTCCCCCCATCAACGCGTAACCTCCCTAAGCCCACCGGGACCCTTCGAGAGGCTACCAGAAACGCGAACTCGCGAGTCCCAGGAGTCCACCAGGGCACTCTTCGAGCCGACTACACAAATATCGTCAAAATTGGGCGCCAGGCCTCCCCCGGAGGCCAATTCTCGAAATTCTCTACAAAATATCACGAATTACCAAAATCTACACGAAGCGTCTTCCGGCCGGCCCTTGGCTCGGGCGACCGGTGCGGCGCGGCCGGCTAGCTCAGAGCGCAGGCGCCAAATTCGGTGAGGGCGGGGTAAGGAACTCTAGCAGACCAATTCTCGAAACACTATGATTGGCTCGACACAATTATTTTATTTGGACTCAAAAACGGGAAATTAAAAGGAAAAGGCAAAAGGTCAAATTGGCAATGAATTAACTCAAGGCTCGAATAAGTAGAAAATAAGGCTTTAATTAAAAGAAAATTAGGCGATTGTTAATAAGTTTCCACAATAGCCCGTCCTATTTACCGGGGGCGATATAGGACCGACCTGTTCGAGAGTGAAGAGAAAATTGCACTCGGGAAAGTACAATACTCCAGAAAAGATTGAAGGAAATACGCGAGGTGAGGTAAAAAGGAAATCACAAAATAAGAGAAGGGATCGAGTCTGGATACCCGATAAATTCCGCGAACTTAATTAGTTCCTAAAATGTTCTAAAAGCAAGGTTCGATGCTAAATATCTTTCCAATGACTGTACAATCTTTGATCAATTTTGGGCTGATATAAATAATTTCCGAAATATTCGCAATTACTCTCTCGCTGTTCGCTCGACATTCATTACGTCAG